TTCCACGGTGGGCTACACCCACCTGCAACTAAGACTGAACTTGGCACCTTGAGCTGAGCTGCCACCCGGATGGCTCAGTGGATAAGTCGTGCGCTCTTAACAACAAGGCTGCCGGGTTTGACTCCTGCATGGGATGGTGGCAACGTCCACTCGCAACTAAGGCTGAACACAGCTCCTTGAGCTTAGAGCTGCTGATGGGAAGGAAGCCAGATGGCGACTGGTGCCCTCCACAACGAGGACTGAACAACAACTTGGCTGGTCCCCTTCCCCAATTCCCCAACACTGTTCCCCTCCCCCAATTCCCCAATAAAATCTTTAAAGAAAAGAAAAATTCTAGCTGGCTACAGTGAGGGCACCAAAAATTCAATTCAAAAGGAACATCCTCTGACTTTGAACCTAAAGCATTTCACTTTGAGTGGAAATGGATCCATTTCATTGCTCCCGAATCAGTGTTGTGGTCTGAAACAGCAAACACCATCACAGGGCAGCTCCTTCAGGGAAATCAACTTTGCCCTGTTTACAACCTGGTGTTTGACACTGAGGGGGCGGGGAGAGGAATATTTCTTTTCCTACACTGTTTTCTCATCAACCCGTCTTTCCTCCCTCTTTCCTCAAGCTGTATTCCCTCTCTTCTTGTCCAGAGGTAGCAAAACACTTGAAGATTTTTCTTTTGCCTTAGTTCTGGCCAACTATTCAGCCAGTAACTAATAAGGCCTTTGCTAATCTATATGTGGGTGGTATGATCTTCTGCAGATGGCTCAGATAACTCAGCTTCCACCCCCTGACACACACACATGCAATCAAGCATCTCATGCCCTCATGCTAAAGGCTCCCCTAGTACCCTAAGCCCCAGCACCATGGTTTATACAGATAACAATGCCATTCAAAGTCTAAGCAGTTAAGGACTGAAACCTGTATCATCATGTCCTATTAGCAGCATAAATAGCTGTCTCACAGAGCAAAATGTGGCAAGCAAGTGCTACTCCTCTCATCCTCCCCAAAACAGTCTGGGAATACCAGAAATTTGCCTGAATTCTTGTGAAGGCTGCAGCACAGAGGTGTAAGGGCAGAAATTAAACATTACCCCAAAGTGAGAGCAGGGGGAAGCAGCAAACTAAATCAACAAAAGAATAAAAGTACTGAATGTGAGGTTTTGGCCAGACAGGGTCCAGGTGGGGTTCATTTTGGGAAATAAATTTGCAATGCTCGAGCCCTCCAACAAACAGGGGAACCCTGCTCCTGACCTTTCTGGTGCTTGGAGCAGACCCCTCACCTCTATGACTCTCATTTCCAAGGCAGAAAATTCCAGCAAAGGTTCCAGCTCACACAGAACGGAAAAAGCATAAGATGTTAACTTGAGCACCATCCAATTCCACCGTGCCTGTCTCATGATCTCCTTCCAGCAATGTCCAACCTTGAGAACAAGAGCATCCCACAAGATTAGGAAACACAGCTCAGGGGCTGTAGTGGTCATGGCAGTGACCTAGCCACACGAAAGGACCAACCCGCCGGCCTATCTGCCTTACAACACAATCATATTTGCTTTTGGAGACTAAGTCTGTTGTTGCTTTTTCAGGGTCATATCTCTTCTTTGGGAGGCAGCTTTCTCAGTCATCTAATCAGTTACTTTTGATACTTGTTGGAGCTCCGGTGAAAAGGTTTGACAGCAGTTTATATTTTTAGTATTAACATTTTACTTTCCAGATGGCTCAGGTTCTGATATCCCTACTCCCTATAATGAATGTACATTTTTCAGGAGAAGGAATTACTTATTGGTTGTAATACTGCTGGTTCCCAACTACCAGTCAAGGTAAACTTCACAAGGAACAAATGCTCTATAATCAGCCACCTGGTCCTGAGGACATGTAGAAAATCAGGTGTGTGTGTACCTCAGTGACTGCAGCTGGGTTCTCCAAACACCGGCCCAGGTCAGGCACTGTGACTCTCTCAATGATTACAGACGGATGTGGTCCCTTCCCACAAGTTTACATCTAACAGACGAGAAACGACAAAAATTTTAGCCTCATTCATCCTCACTCCCACATACTCCTTCCTAGTTTCTTGTCAAACCAAATTACTCACAGGCACCCCCTTACCCTGGCCCTAATATTTTCAAGGCTTGGTCCATATGTCCTCTCTTCTGTGAAACTTACATAGTCAACCATAAGTTCCTGTGCTCCCTGATATGCCACACACATGCTCCCACTAACCTATGACCCCAACAGAAGGCTCACATCATCTTTGACGTCCTTAAGTAATGAGCAAAAATGAGCAAGTCCACAAGCAGAGACTGTATCCCACACCTCAGAAACATGCTGCAGGTGAAAGGACCGAGACAACGGTGACTTGAGGTCGAAGTCCTAGATGTGAAGCTGAGCACATGCTAAAATTTGGCAATACTTTCCCAAGAAAAGAGAAAAATACAGAATTCTGAATTTCCTTTACAGGTGAAGTCTCTTGTAACTATATACTCCCCCCCTCCCCCACCCCACTGTATATTTTCTTGCCTAAATTCACCCATCACTGAATCCATTAAAATAACTATACCATCACACTTATCCACACAGTTGACAATGTCAAGGGTATCTGCAATATAGAAGGCTTCCAAAAACAGGTTCTGTATCTTAGATTCAGGCAAAATAATTCTTGAACTATTGCAACAGAAGTTGCAGCAGGGGACAGATTATTAAAGAAAAGAGATCAAATAAACAGATAACAAAATTTGGGTGGCCTGAAACCTAACATATGTTCACAATGGAAGTAACACTGCATGATACAAAGAATGAATTACAAACACACCATCAGAACATTTTAGAATGTGAATAAGAGAAAAAAACAACCTGGGGGGGAGAGGGAGGGGTTGAAGTCAGCTACTAAAGAAATAAGAATCAAATTGATAATAATTACTCATCTGTAATAAGGGTGCTAGACGACGACAGAGCAATATCATCACTCTTTGAAGGAAAATGATTTTGTCCTGGAATGCAATACCCAGCCAAACTAATATCCAAGTATGAAGGCAAAATAAAAATCTTTTTAGACGTGGTGGGCTTAGAAAATTTACAAGCTAGAGACTTTTTCTGCAAAACACACCCAAAGATATACTCTGATAAAACAATGCTTGAGCCGTTCTATCAAAAGATACAAGCAACACTGATAAAACTAACAGTTGTCTTGTAGTCGGTGGTCACATAGGGCAGTCAAGTAGCTGTAACCTGCCACACAGCCCGGCCAATAAGCAACAATGAGCGGACAGAACCATGACTGCAGGAGAGAAAGGCGGCCCCAGGAAGTTTCTAAAGTCGCGCATGTGCATTAGTTAAAGGAGCCGTCCTACAGTTAACTCTTTCTCATTATCATAGTAAAAAACACTCCCCTAGGCGGAGACTTAGGATGTTAATGAGACATGCTACGCAGGAAGTAGCACGTGGGTACCCTGCGGAGGACCCGCCTCAACATACTTTGGGGAGGGGAAAAGGAAAGAGAAAGAAAGGTGTGGCCCCCAACCTCAAGAGCCTATAAAACTGCTGCATCTGTCAATTTCGCGGAGCCACATCCATTCTCTTTCAGAGTACGCTCCCTTGGTGCATCAAGCTTTCACTTTAATAAGCCTTTCTCTCACCAAAACCGTTTCGCCCACTCTCTTGATTTCTATCCTGCGACTGACAAGGACCCGTCCGCCGGTAACACTCTTATCCGTTAGTGCATGTTATTTTTAAAAATCATGGTTAAAAAAGAGACTGCTGCATTAAACACATGAAAACATTCCTAGTATCCATGCAAATGTAAATTAAACAAGAAATGGTATATAAAGCATCGGTTTGGAAAGAGGTAATATCCAGTATTGAAGAAGACACCTTGATACACAGGTAGTCTCATTCCCTGCTAAAACCTTTTTGGGCAGTAATTTGGCAATATCAGCTAATATTTCAAATATGCACAGGCTCTGAACCACCAATTCTAAACCTCGAATTCTGTAATTCTAAAGAAATATACATGTGCACAAAAATTTAAATAGTCGCCCATTCTACACAGCATTGTAATAACCAAAACAAAAAAAAACGGAAAAAATCTTTATTATGTCCATTAACAGGGCATTAAGTAAATGACAGTGTGTCATGGGATACTATGCAGCTACTGGAAATCCGTAGACCCGTGCATGCTGACGAAAAGATGTGTAAGCCATGTTGAGAATTTAAGAAAAACTCTGCAGCACAACGCATATATGGTTTAGGCCTTTTTACATAAAAATAGTTAGACACATCTATTTATATGTGTTAACTGTGCAGAGCCTGAAAGGAAAACCAACAGATTCACCCGTGGCTACTTCCAAGTGGAGACTGAGAAAGCACGGATTACTGTCATTCTTTTTTTTTTTCTTCAACATTTACTTCAGCACCTACCAATTCCAGACCCAAAGGATTGAGGTTAACTCCTCAAGAGTCCACCGGCTGCACGAGTGCTCAGGGTGCCGGTTTGATTTGCTGCCGGGTGTCGTGTCGGCCGAGGTGGACACTCAGGCTCGTGTCGAGTGAACGAGGGAACCAGTGGCTAATGCACTACACGTGTATAAAACAACTCGGTAGCGAGGAGAAAGAAAAGCGCAACTAGGGACTTAAGTGATCAACCTGCTGAAGTCCGTTGTCAGCGCACACGCACCCCGGGATTTCACTCCACGAACCTGCCTTTGGCTCCAGAAGCGAGGTGCCCACGACCCCTCCGTCTCACCCCAGCCCAAGGAGAAGCCCCTGCTGTAGTTACACATGCCGGGGTTCAACCGCGTCACGTCCTGAGAACACCCGGGCAGCGCGGGGCGAAGCCAGGTGGGACCAGGACGCACCGAGCGCTCGGAGTTCGCAGCGCGTTTGGCACGTAAATCTCAGTCTCCCACGCCGCGCGAGGGGTGCCTTTCCCGCGCCTACCACAGATGACGAAGCGGGGGACCGTTTCTCGGGGGACCGCGCGTACCCGCCCTCGCCCGCCGGTCCAGCCACCCTCACCTCCCGAGGCGACAGCTAGCGCTGGCGCCCGCAGGCGACGTCCCCACAGCAGCAGCGCCCGCAGCTCACGCGCCATGTCTTTCCTTCGGAGCGTCCAGCGCAACCGCGCGCGCAGGAGGCGAGGCCTTCCTCAGGCGCAGCGCAGTGACGTCACAGCGCGCGCCGGCTGTCTGGTCCTCAGCCTGCGCCGGCGGCTGGGCGGGGCCTCTGTGGCACGCGTGGATAACCGTGCCTGGGGGCGGGACCTCTGTGACCTTGTGCCGCGTTGTCAAGGGCGACAAGCCAAGCGCGGAGCGGCCCCAGATACTCCCTAGTCAGCTGGGTCTCGTTTTGTGCATCCCTGAGATGGGGCAGATGTTCATAAATACCCGGAAGGGTTTGAAAGCGCGGCTCACCGGGCAGAAATAACGTCTCTGGGGTCTTTATAAGCCCCCGGCCAACCGTCTAGACCGTTGGAAGTCAGTCTCGTCCAACCAAGACAGGCCAAATAGCTAAAAGGAGTGAAAGGGAGAACTTCAGGCTTGACTTGTCCACACCAAGACGTGAACTCTGGAGGCAACACCTACCAGCAACACTGGGCCATTCATTTCATTTCTCTTGCCCTGCAGGAGATAAGAGTCTAGTTGGGGATTCATACCAACTCCCTTTCTCACAGAGTACCAAGCCAGGTAAAATGCACATTCTCTGGCATCGCCTGAAGTGGGGCCCAGGCAGCTCCCCAGATGATTCTGAGGCACACTAGAGACCGACTGCCACATATGTACTAAAACAGGGTTACTAGAGATTGTGACAGGAGCTGCAAAAATACAGAAGCCAAGACAGTGTCCTCCTTGGGGCCTGGAATCATTGGGGCATTGGAGGGGATGTTGTCAGGGAATGCTTCCCGGTGGAAGGGGTCAAGATGACTCCAAGTTACAGCCTTAAGCAACTGAGAAGGACGTAAAAGAGGTGGGCACATTTGGATGGAAGAGCTCCTCTTAGAAGACTTTTCTGGGCTTTCACTTAGAAGAAAGACTGCAGCAGCCTCACTAGCCCCCGACTCATTCTCTGCACACAGCTGGATCACACACTCCTCACTCGGGGTCTTCCAGCAGTTTCCCTGCACACTTATAATCAACTCCAAACCCCTACTGCGCTGGCCTCCAGGCCATGCAAAACCGGCCCCTGCCTCTCTCCCTTCCTCACCACACTCCAGACATACTGAGCCTGTCCCAGGTGTAGCCATTCCCAGGAAAGTCACTGCAGCTACTCCGGGAGAATTGAGGGGTCTCCGCCTCACATTTCATTCGTTGTTCACTCCACTCAGAAAATCGTCTCTTGTAAAAGGGGACACATTGGTCCATGAGGCAATAGATCTAGCTTGGGGAGCCCCTTTATTTCAGGAAGGGGAAGTGGTATTTAGCAAAGGGAAGAGGGAAGCCCACATTTCAGTTATGAATGAGGAACCTTTGCCAAGACAAGCAGGACCCAGGCTCTGTGGAGGGCAAACCTACGTTTCCAGACACATTTACCAGGGCTGTCTGTCCCCTCCGCCTGTGGCCTTCAGAGACACACCCTCATCCACAGATCTTTGTGGTAAGTACTGCATCCTCTGGTAGCCTAGGGAACTGGCTTTTTAAAGTGCTCAGGGATCCAAGTCAAGTCTTGATGGGGTCATGGGCAGATTTCAGCCCCGACATACCCAAGGAAAACGGAAGAAGGGAAAAATATAATTAGATGCAGATGTACTTGAGCTGAATTGATGGAGACTAGAGACTGACATGGGGAGAGCAGAAGAGAAAAGAGGAGATGGGAGGGTGGGGGAGACCCCCTGGAGTTGCCTGACCACCACTGCGGCCACTATGAGGCTGCCCATTCCTTCTCCAAAAGTTACTGCCTCCCCCTGGGGTGAGCTGAGGGTCATGAAAAATGCCCCCTATTATTTACAATAACCAGAGTGTAGAAACAACTCACGTGTCCATGGTTGGATCAATTAATAAACAAAACATGTTCTATATATACAGTGCAATTTATTGAGACTTAGAAAGGGAGGAAATTCTGACACATGCTTCAACAAGAATGAAACTTGAGGACATTATGAACAGTGAAATAAGCCAGTTGCATAAAGACAAATACTGTGTGATTCCACTAACATGAAGTAGGTAGTCATCAAATTCATAGAGACAGAAAGTAGGGTGGGTGTCAGGGTAGGGGAGAGGGAGAGGGTAGTTAGTTTTAATGGGGACAAAGTTTCCATTTCGCAGATGAATAGAGTTCTAGAGAGGATGATGGGTGATGACTGCACAACAATATGAATGTATGTAATACCACTGAACTGTACACTTAAAAATGATTAAGATGAGGGCCGGCCGAGTGGCTCAGTTGGTTAAGAGCTCGCTCAAGAGTTTGAGTTCTGAGCAACAGCGGTTCGATGCCCAGCCCAAGCTGAGCTGCCACTAAGCTGCCAATAGGTAGCAGGATGGCTCAGCTAAAAAGAAGAAAAATGATTAAGATGGTAGATTTTTTTTAAGATTTTTTTTTTATTGGGGAATTGGGGAGGGGAACAGTGTTGGGGAATTGGGGAAGGGGAACATTGTGTTTTTCCAGGACCCATCAGCTCCAAGTCAAGTTGTTGTCCTTCAATCTTAGTTGTGGAGGGCGCAAGCTCAGCTCCCAAGTCCAGTCTCCGCTTTCAATCTAGTTGGGGACGGGGGTTAGGGGGAGGTGCAGCCCACCATACCATGTAGGAATCGAACCGGCAACCTTGTTAAGACCATGCGCTCTCACCAGCTCAGTGACAGCTCAGCGTACACACAGCTCACTGGCCCATGTGGGAATCGAAACTGCAACCCTGTTGCTCAGAGCTCACGCGTTAACCAACTGAGCCACTCGGCCAGCCCAAAGACGGTGAATTTTTTTTTAAAGATTTTTATTGTTGAATTGGGGGGATGGGAACAGCGCTGGGGAATTGGGGGAAGTGGAACAGACAAGTTGCTGTCCTTTTGTTCTTCAGTCTAGTTGTGGAGGACATTGCTTCAGTGGCCCAAGTTGGTACCATCATTGTGCTCTTCCCGGGTGAGGCAAATCAGTCGCTGGCTTCTGGATGGCCACTCACTGCAGCTGCTGCCCACTCACGCTGGCTGCAGGCTACACACGGTAGCCCATGGCAACCCACTGCCACAGGGGCTGCAGCCTATGCTGTCGCCGACGACTCACAGCAGCCCAGCTCCAGGTCGAGCTGTTGTTCAGCATCTTAGCTGTGGAGGGCAGTGTCAGTGGCCCTCATATGTGGGATCCGAACCGGGGCACTCTGGCGTCCCAAGCCAGTTCTTAACCATTGCGCCACTCGGCCGGCCCCAAAGATGGTGAATTTTATGTTATGTATATTTATCACGATTTCAAAAAACAAAAATGCCTACTGGAAAAAAAACAACCAACTAATTCAATTGCCTCCCTTTTTCATTTCTTTGTTCAAGGCACCAACTTCTGGGCAATCCTTTCCTCTCAGGAGGCAACGTCCTGTGAGCTCCCAGAGGAGGAAAGGCTTGTGGATAAAGGATACTTCGTGGCCTGAAAACATCCAGGGATGATGGGATTTCATGGATCCTCTTATAAGGCAGCGTACTTTCTGAAACTAAAAAATGTCAAGGAGAGAAACTCCCAGACAGTCCTGCACATGCTGGGTGTTGTGTGAAAGCTATTCTCTAATTGTCTTAGTGTTCAGGTCTCAGGAGCAAGGGTTTCCCCCAGCAGACAGGCCTGTACAGACCTGGTCTGAGAGAAGGGCAGCTGCGGCTTGGAGGTTTGACCACAGCTTCAGAGGCAGTAACTGCCCTTGAGTTTCTGAGGTGTCAAAACCTTCCACTTCAGAGAAATAACTAATGGCCAGGTGGCACCTGCACAGGGTTTTGTGCATTTCTTAAAAGTCCTTTTCATCCTTTTCAGGACGTTGACACCAACTCAGCAAGGGTTGGAACTCAGAAACCTAGTATTTCACTGATTGCTTAATAACTATCTCATGTTAGATGAATGTCAGTCCCCTGCCAACTTCAGAGACCTCCCATAGCAGAATGGTTAGATCTGGCGGGATCCCAGGCCCTGACCCCCATTTGCACACAGGCTGATGGTGGGATTTGGCCAGAAGCATGACCTGTGGCCCTTTGTGGAGGCAGGTGCAGCCACTTAGCAGGACCTGGCCTAGAACTTACTAGAACAATTCTAATTTCACTTGGCTCAATCTCCAAATGGCTCATTCTGCTTTACCAGTGGCCACTTTTAATTCCCCCATCAAGGACCCTGGGAACGTCACAAGTTGATTGCACAGAGCCCCACACGTTCAGGGATGAATGGACCTGAGATCTTTCTCCCTTTTCACCCTATACAGCATTGGCAGTCAGTCCAGGCCCCTGACTACCCACTAGCCGGGTGACCCCTGGCAACCCCTTCCCCTCTCGGGGTCTTTCCACTGTGAGCAGTGTCTGTACTCCCCACAGGAGGGAAGGATAGGCCATCCTGTTGGGCTCCCAGCCTCCCTGTCCAGCATGAATAATGGAAGACAGAACTTAGTTCAGACAACCATGAAATGTCACTGGCGGGGCCTTTTTTGAGTGACTCTAGCTCTGGAGAAGGCAGGGTGGACGAGGCAGTAACTTCTCCCTGCATTTATTCCTGGAAGCTTCTGCTGGGGGATATCACTCAGTAAATTGGCCTTGAGGGCATGTTTTGAAAGATGCCTTCTATCCTGGCAAAGAGCTCAGACCGACCACATTTTTTCCCCCAGCTTGTGCATGAAGCATTAGAAGAAAAAATGACTACCACACCTCAAGCCTACTGCTTCTATTGCTTACGAGAAGACAAGTGGGAATTGGCTTGGTCTGAGAGAGGCTGCAGGGTGAAAAGCAACTCCATTCTGTGTGTGCTTGCACATGTGTGCATGTGTATGTTTGGGCCAAGCTGGTGGCCCTATAATTCCTAAAGCCACCATTCTTACCTTGATGCTTGGAGGGAACAGATAAGCTGTCTGGGGAGGCCTGATCAGCTGGCCCCTCTCTCTGCTCAGCATGGCTTCCTGGTAGCTGCAGGGCCCCTCTCACAATGTCTGCTCCATGCCAGCAAGGCTCTGCCTCCCTCAAGGACTAGCCCTTTGCCTCGGTGCCATGGGC